AACATGTTATTTATTTATTTATTTAAATTGACTTATATATTTATATAAATTTATTTATATAGATTTTAAGCAAAATCAACCAACCAATTCTTGAATACAAACTAAAGGAATTGGTTGAGGCCAACATGACTGCCACATAGTATTGGGCTAAGTGATAATATGGCTGGTTCGGTTTTGTCTGGGCAGAGATATGAACCCAGTGTTAGGCAACAAACCTGGCTAAAGCAAAACAACATGGTTAACCTATGGGGCTTATGATTTGTGAAAACAGCCACTGAATTATCCAGCTCATTTTTGTTTGAGCTAGTCTTCTTCAACTTGATTCCCAAAGGAGTTGAAGAAGACTAGCTCAAACAAAAATGAGCTGGATAATTCAGTGGCTGGAATTATGACTTCTAGCACCACCACTATAACTTTGGAAGCTAAAGTTTAATAGGTCTTGGGAATTTAAGTATTTTGGGAAAGGCTACTGATACCATTCAGCACTACATTATTCAGACAAGCCACAATATGATTTATTAGGTATTGGCTTAGATGGTAGTTTCCCATCAAACTCTTGGGAATGAAAGATGAATGGCTTGACAAATGAGTTGAGACATAAGAGCATTATCTAAATCATATATAAGAATGAGATTAAATTTATAGTCTCACAATAATATGTGCATAGCTTGGAATGGGAATATGGATCACATCATATAGGAGGCTACATAGTCACAGAAAGCCCAAATGCTTAAAATCTAAGTGTTTTAATTCACAGATCAGTTATTTTAAAATTGCACTATATTTGCAATAAGTAATTAGGAATATATGTGCTTTCCTTTTCTTCAGTAATAAATATACCCAGTAATTGGCCATATCATACAGTAAGTTTCATAGACTTTAGAAAGATTTCCATAAAAGTAAATATTTTTTTCATCAGGATTGTATGGTTTATTTTATAGGTATTCCCACTGAAACTAAATCCCAGTCAAGCTTTAATTCTCATGTAAAGACAGCTCAGCCAGATGGTAATTTTATTTTGGCAGAACTCCAATTTGGAAGTAAATAATCAGGGCTGCAAAAATTCCTGCACCTGGTTTTTGAAACACCTAGAAAACTGGTAAGAATTTAATATGAACTGATGTAAAATGTCATGCTGGCATTTAGGAATCTGCAAAACATCTTCCCCTTCCACATATTTCTGTTACAGTCTATAACATTAACATAGCATAATATTAAGATCCATTCTTATTAACCATCATCACATGTTGAGGGGGGAGAATGTGAATTGCAGCATGTTAAGGAGACAATAGTTGTTTAAAAAAAGAACTAGGTATTCAAATCAATCTGACAACACTCTCCGAGTCAAATGGAAGAAAAGGAATTACAGTATAGAGCCAGACTAGCTTACTGTCCTTTACAGCTGAAAACTTATTCACACAGAGCTCTGGCCAACAGTTTGAAAAGATAACAGGGTTTTTCTACATAGTAATTCTTTGCTCTCACTGAGGTGGGTAGATTCAACCGGAGTGAAGAGACTGAATGATGCTCTCAGTAAATGCTTCTGGAATGTCACAGTGTAGTCCTTACACAGATTTACAGAGATATCAGTCCTATGCAGTTCACATAAGACTAACCTTAGTTGCAATGCTAATCAGAAAGACCCATACATTATTTCTTCACCCAACTACCATCACATCTGACTGATAGGTTATTTTTTTTTTCACTCTTTTTTAACAGCAGCAGGAAATAGCAATTCACATGAAACCAATTTCAAAATTCCCAATGACTTCAATATAAAAAAAAAATAGCCTGCTCTAATAGAGATGCACAATTCACACAGGGTGATGGTCATGTTGATCATCAGACAATCAATATAAAACTTTCAAGGGATTTATTCCACTAACTGCAACTCTTTTTAACGTTACAGGATACAGTAAGTCTAAATTGATAAGTAACCACATATCTTTATATAAACACCAAAAAGGCCACTTCTCAGTATTAAAACATGCATTTTAAAGTTCTGCTGATGTGTTACAATTGTTTAAGATACCCTGGCAAAGGATACACGTGAGAAAAAGAGAATGAATGAAACTGACATTATCTTCAGTTAAAAACATAATTTTATCTCATTTAGTGAAAACAGATATTCGTAAAAATGTCAGGAAAAAGTATCAAGTCTTGCTTGGAAGTATTTATGTCACATTCATGTAAAAGGTGGGAAAAGATCTAACAATACCGATCAGGAATGTAGAAACAGAGGAGGGAAAGAAAGAAATCAAACCAAAAAGATTACCAGGATCAAGCGGTAAATAATTTCCAAAAGATTTCAAAGGGGATTTTTTTTCCCTAAATACCTTTGGAGCCGTTTATTCTGTTGAAATAGACGGTACTAAGATTTTATATATATATATATGTATAAAAAAAAAGGATTGTGTTTTTGTGAATATCCAGAGAGCTCTTTCAAAGGACACACACTGTACTTCGTTACCGAGCGATGAAGTGTGTGTGTGTGTGTGTGTGTGTGTGTTTCCTGTGAAAAGGCTCCCCCTTTTAGGTTGCACAAACGCGAGATGGGCGCTCTAGCGGTCCCCACCGGGGCTGCTCCACCGCGCGAAAAAGCCCCGAGGAGGAGCTCTGCTGGTGCAGGAGCGGCTGGCGGCGCTTACCTGTCCGAGAGAAACCCTCCGATGGGAGACGCGAGGGCTCCAGGTGGGGCTGCCACCCGCGTCAACTCAACCACGGAACAGTTCCTTGGGCTGAAGCCGCAGGAGAAACAAGACCGCCGCCTCCAGGACCGCTTCTGTCGCGTCTTGCAGCGCCCGAAGAGTTTTACTCTCCCCCACCCAACCTCTTTCCCTTCGCCCCGCCTCTTTCTCCCTAATACGGTCAAGGCCCCGCCTACCACTCCGACGCGGGCTTCTAATTGGCCTCCTCTCTCACAGGCTCCTCCCCTTCCCCGCTCGCCTTGTCGCGGCCTCTTTTCCTTCCCCCCTCCCAACTCGTTTTCTTTTGCCGGAGCCCTCGCAATGCTTTTCGGGACCTGTAGTTTTCTTGAGAAGCGGACTACAGGTCCCATGGGCCCACGCGATCGCCGGCTAGTTCCGGACAACGCCTGGTGTGTGGTAACAACGGTGGCAGCGGCAGCGGCGAGAGAGAGGAGGACGCTTCTTTTCCGGCACGTACTTCCGGCAGTAGCGACGAGGGAACCTGCTCGGGAGTCCTAGAGGCTTCGCGGGGCAGGTGAAAGGGAGAAGTGAGGTAATGTGGAAGAGGCCCTCTTCCTCTCCCTCTTCGGGTGTCGCCAAGGCAATGCCCGGAGGGGTCATTCGTAGGTTTGCGCAAGGCCTGACCGCCCCACAGAGGTTACGCCGACCTGAATGCGTAAGGGGGCTTCCAGCATCGGAGGGCCCGGCGCATTCGGGCCTAGCCCTGCCGCGGGCGCCGCGAGAGAAAGTGGGGGGCAGCGACTGCCTTGTCCCCAGCAGACTGGGGGAAGGGCCTCGGTTTTCTCTGCAAGCGCTCAGACCTTTGCAAGGGGAGAAGCAGCTTCGGGCTACCTGAAAGGTGGATTTAGGTACGGGGTGCGAGGGGTGAATACGGGACGGTAGTCGCTTGGATGCGGGTGCCCGCGTCCCCATAGCTGTGCGGGGAGTAAATACATATGATTCCAAAGGAACGAGGGAAGCCTATCTCATTGAAAGGAGGAGGATAGGTGGGGAGCATCTGGAGGAAGAAGGGCCCACCCCCTCTGGCTTTCATGGGGGAAGCTTGGCTTTCTTGGGACCTGATTGCGTGTGGAGGGTCCTCGTCTTTTCTCTCTTTGGGCCGAAGGAGAAGAGGTGTTATCCTTGGATAGGCCTAGGAGCCTCAAGTGGTGGATTAAAACTCTCGTTGAACCGTGCTATTTTAGATTGCAGGTGCTTGTAGCAGGGGATTACCTTTGTCTTAGAAACTGTTTCACCTTGTCTTCAGCGAAGACAGAAGGGCGCTTCAGTGGAGCGGCGTGTGAGATGCATCTGCACACACCCAAAATACATGCCCGTTCTTGGAATGTGAAAAGCTGATGTGCTTGTGCAGGAAGGGAAAAATAGGAGCCCCCAGAAGAGGACAACTTTCGTGTTTCTCCGTAAGAAGAGTGAAGGATCTTGTCATATGACCAGATCTCAGGGATTATATAATTGGAGATAGGTATTCCTGCTGTCCAGTTTTATGGGATTTTCCTAATTTGACCTAGAAATAAGTTAAAAGGTACATATCATGAAGGAAACACTGAAATATGTTGAAGTTTAAATATGAAATTTAAAGCTGAACTTCTTGTTTAAATATAGTATTTTTCTGTATCATGAAGTGCAGGCTAATGCTGATATTGGTACTATTAAGCATTAGTACTGATGTTCACTCTTGGACTCTTGTTTTGTATCCAGGATGTATTCAGTTGTTTTCAGTTGGTCAGAGTGAAACTTCAGTAAATAAGTATAGAAGCGCTTGAGTTTGCAACCAATGATAATATAACCTATTTCATTATACTTTGATACCATTTTTACATGGTATCAAAATCTGAGGTGGGAAACTTTCCCTGTCATAATGATATTACCATGTTCAAAACCTGATAACTTCTGCGTTCAGATGTGCTGTATGGCCAGAGCATGGGAATTTGACTTTTGCTTTCAGTACGCAGCAGAAAGAAGACATTTTCCCTTGGTATTCTCGTTCTTTCAAATGTATGCAGCCACCTTTGTGCTTGGGAGACTAAAGGGCATAATAAATATAAAAAATGTAAGTGTGGCTGGTGAGAAGATATGGCCTGATGAACACTTAGGTCAGAGGTTCCCTACATCTGATCTGAAAAAGTAGTATTGCATGCTTTGGTATAATGATCCTTTTTGACACAGAGTTTTTAAACCCTCTTCATTCTTATGAATCAGAAAGTGAAACACCTTAGACCATCATAAGAAAAAAAATCTTATACATTGTTATTTCAGTTTTTGTTGTTTTAATGAGGATCAGGAAAATAGATGTAAATTCCTCTGTCAGATGACATTAGTTTTGCTCAAATGATTTTCTTGTTACACTTAATCATGGTTTAATTATGGGGGGTGCATGGCACATTAATAATAAATTATACAGCTAAGTGTGCATAAAACACTAGGCTAAAATGTGGTTATCTGGTTTGTGGTTCAGTGTGGTATAGCAAGCCAGCCATTCTGTGGTCTATTTTGTAAAGAAAATAGTTCTCTGAAAATACTTCTTGGACTAATTCAATTCAAATACCCTTAAACATGATATCCTACCCTTTATTAAATATTGTTTGCATAAATTATATAATATTTGTGTTTAATCCATTGTGTTAACAGGAGAAAGTAGTTCTACAGCACTTTTGAGAAGGGCGGTATACTTTTAAAGAAGCTCTTAAAATCTGTTGATGTGGAATATTTTTTAAAAAGTGTATTAAAGTTATAGAGCAGGGGGAACGGATTTGGGTATTGTTTGTCACTGATGTTATGTGTGCTGTCAATATGAGATTTTTCTTACGTGTTTTTGTTCCAAGGTACCCTGCTTTGTCTTTTTGAAAGTCTATGCAATACAAACTGTTATAAGTGCCTGGATATATATTTTTTTTTAACTTACAACAATATTTCTGTGTATTATCCCAGAAAACACATCACTTGTAATTTTCCCCTAATGAAAATCATAGGCATAGTTACTGTATAATTTTTATAGTAAAGTAATTTAATGATAACTAATTTGTATTGTAAAAGCTGTTTGTGCATCATTCCAAACTCACTGGTTGCTAAACAAATAATATACTTGCAGATGCCCTTAGGCAGTATATAGAACAAATGTTAGTTAAAATATTTTCCTTTAAAATTGAAACTGAATTTAACTTGTTTCTAAACATTAGTAGCTTAAGGTATTTTGAGAAAGATAAAAGTGTTAGTTCAGTTTTAAATACAAACATGATTATTTCAGATCATCTAATGTCTAAAAATTTAAACTTTTTAAAACACTGCTAAAAATTCTCAAACTTTGGGCTGTAAAACTAAAAAATTCCAAAGCTGAATGCAGTTATTTACTTGAACTATGTTTATCCCATTTTTCAATCAAAATAGCTTGGAGACTGGGTCATGTGTTATTATTGGAAAACCTCCCACAAGTCTAATGTACAGCACCCTTCCATGTAACCTTGCTTTTCTTGCTACAGTATAATACATTATTAGTTGATAGCATTAAGCAGGAGATGAATTAGTTATTTTCAAAGGGTACCTGAATTTACACTGTAGAGGTCATGGTAAACTTAGTGAATTGTGGCTAAAAGCAAAGGCTGAAATTGTCTGTTGATTCTGTAGTGCTCAGTGTGATATGGGTACTTGGTATCTATGAATAATTTTAGTGTTAATATTATAATCTCTGAGCTAATAGCCACTGTTAATCTCCAATCAATCTTCATGATTTAAAATCTACTCTGAGAAGGCCTTTGTTCTGTTTACAGGTAAGCACAGAGGGCTGAGAGAAGGTGATGCTGATGGATGAATTGGAATTTGAAGTAATCTCTGAGTTCAGCTTGCTGTCATCTGCACGATATTTGCCTTTCAAGCAAATAGAATTATTTCCACCAAAGAGTATATATGATGCTGAAAATACTTTTTTCTATAGCTACCCTCTAAGCATCTGTAATTGGCCATATTAAACATGATAGATATTGCCTGTAATTTGACTTGGTTTGGAAGTAACTGCCCTAGGTATTGTAGTCTGATAAGTTGTTCATTCATCCTGCTAATATAAAAGATCTGTGTTAAAATACAACAGAATATCTCATGGCAAAAAATTACGCCATAAAGAAGTCAAGAAAAGACGTTAGAAATTCTGATAACAAGGGACTGTGAAATATTGAGCCAATGCAATTTCATTTGAAGACTTCTAGAGGAACAGATGGAGAAAAACCTGCATGTAGATAGGAGCAGGTAGTGGCATTTTGTAATGTAGCACATCAAATTAAACTAGCCAGAAGATATAAGTAGAAAGATACTTTAAATAAGACATAGTACTCCTTGATAGTAAGGTTAACTATGCAAGCAATATGTACATACTACATAAAGAAGCTGACTTACTTCTAAACACAGAGTGTGATGTCATCCAGATGTTTTGGACTGTAGGTTTCAGTCGCTTTCCATTAGCCACGCCAATGGGAATTAAAATACAAAACATCTGGATAGTACCAGGCTTTCTAGCTTTGGTATAAATAGCATTCTGTGCAAAATTGGAGTTTTTTTATTTCTTTTTGGACACTCATAAATGAATTTTGATTTGGGATAATTATTGCCTTAACACTCTGTTCTAATATTTTGTTTTGTATTTTGTTGGCAAAAGTTCCATCTCACGGAGGAAATATTTGGGTACTCTAAAAATAAAAGTAATTACATTGAGATAAGATATAACTTGTGGATTTATAATGCTTTTCAAGACCTTTGGATGCTTGCATACATACCTGAAGATAGTGATGCATAGGGTTATAGCAATTTAAATGCAGTAATGCCTGTATTTGAAACAGCTGTCATTTTTCTAGGGGTGGATTTCTTTCCCCAAACATATACAAATTGGCATGTAACATTCTATGGATCTGTCATGTATAAACCATAGATTTTTAATAAATTTTCTGGGTGTCTTGTTTTTTGTTTTGTTTTGTTTTTTTGCACCCTGCTCCTTATTGAGATCATGCTGCCTTTTATCATTATTTATAAAAAGAAATGAAGAGCTTTATTTTCATTATTTTCTTTGCCTTGTCAAAAATTATGTATAGCATACAGTTCAGAGCCTTGGGTGACTACACAGCAAGACGTACAGCCCAAAACCCTGTGGGATGCCAAGGATTGTTTGGATGGTTTGCTAAATCTTGACAGTTGTTTATATTGTGTTACCTGTTTTTTATAAATATTTAAAGTGCTGATTTTAACTTGTAAAGCCTTTTACAGTTTGATTCCTGATTATCCGCAGGACCACGTGTCTCCACTAG